ATTAAGTCGTTTAAAATGCGTTTCTGTATCCCAATTGGGCGTATCCCAGGCCGTAATGTCCATGTAACCCAAACAAAATCAATTGATGTAAATAAGAAAGCAGCTATGAAACCAAAAGTGATGAATTGAACTCTGCCTTTGCCTTGTCCACTCACTTTGTTTTAAAAAGTGCCCCTGCAAAAGATGTACAATTTCCTTAATCTTTTTAACAAATCTCAAATCCTTCAAATACACAAACTGATCCTTTGTTGAAACTGGTTCGTTTTTTTAGTTGATGTAATTTACCCACTTGCTTTGATATTAGTCCTCCATATAACATTTAAAAATGTGAAAATAAAGTGAAGCCCTAATTTCAGTCACCTCCTGTCTGAGATAAAATAAATTTATAGCGATTTCTTGCATTGTTGAGATTCAGTTGGGGTCTATCAGGTTTGTAAAACCTTGTCCTTCCTTGCAGTTTAAAAATTAACATGCTCAAATTCAAGATGCAAATTTACATACGTCAAGTTTGCATAAATAAAGTTTCCTCAAGTCAGTCAGGTTTTGACAAGAATGTTTCTAAAAAGTCATAATGTGAATGCAGCAAGATAGTGTGAAGTATATTGCTGTAATTGTGCAAATGGAAGTCATGCAATGCAAGTGCTTTTAAAGGGTTAGTCCTTAGATAGTTTCATAATGCACACTGCTCACAATTGACCCTCTACCTGTAGACAAAATTATCAATTATTTTTATTTGAATGAGAAATGTCTACCTTGCTTTGCAAATCTCTTGGGAGGAACAACCTTCTCCCATGTTCTTTCACAAAATTGATGAATTCTTATAAATGCCACTGTGTGATTTGTTTTTGACATTTTGTTATAGTCATTGAATGCAAACAGTTGCACTGTTTAAAAATCTTTTGCAATGAAAGAATCAAATAAATGCTTTGAACCAATCATCAATTCTGCATTGCCAAGTTGTCATCAATATGATTATCACATTTGGTAACCATACCTGAAACCATGTTCAATGGAAAAACCAGTTTTACAATTACATGGAACATTTCTACTCTTACCATATCTTGCCATGCTCTTTACCTACAAATCTAAATGCCTTATTCTTTACTTTGAAATGACATGGAAATAGCACACCAAGGAAATAGACCTTTCCTATATTTGTAAAGATTGAGAGCCAGTCTAAATTCTTTTATCTGGATTCCAATGTTTTGTTGTAAAAACAATATTACTAAAACAATTGTGAATTCTTATCTCTCTTTTTTTTCTTGCAAAAAATATAATAAAAAGTATAATAGACAGGTAAGTATATTGTCCCAGTTGTGGATACCCTTAAAATGTTGGAATCCACTTAAAAGGAACCATTAAATTTCTGTGAAGTACTTCTGGTTGTTTTTTGTGTGTATATTAATTTGAACTTGTTAATTAGATGTTGTACCATGCCAATATTTCCAAAAATAAAGTCAAATTTTTACCAGCCAAAATCCAATTTCTCTCATTTGTTATTATGGAACATGATCATGAGATGGCGTTGTACAACATCTTGGTTTTACTGACACCTTACTGAGGCAATAATTTTAGGCCTACAACCTGTAGAACATGAGTAGGAGCCAATATTAATATTTATCTGATGATAAATATTTAGATGAGTTAAGCACATAGCGCTATATTAAATTACTAGAGCGCTAACTCGAAGTAATGCCTGATGGGCGATTCCATGTTTGTGCGCAAGCCTTGTTTGTGCGCAAGCCTTGTTCGGCTTTTGTACGGCTATTTGCATATCTGCGTTTGTATTCCATACCGGTGCGTCATCGAAGCCGATACGCCCAAAACCGAAACGCACGATCAGCAAATAGCGTTTAATTTTACTCTACGCAAACAGCGCAACGTGTGAGCGTCCCTCCACTGTGGGTACTTTTCGCGGTGACGTTTGTTGAACCGTCATGGCGCGCTTAAGTTGTTTGCGTATCTTCTACTTGCACGTTGCATTTAGAGTACACTTTTAAAATTCAATCCATCTATTTTGATTGTGTTCTACAAACACGCACATAAATTCAAAATGTCTGCGCCCAGAGCGGCTTCAAAGCGTCTCCGCGCGCAAGAATGAGGAGTTAGTGCTCTAGTAATTTAATATAGCTCTATGGTTAAGCAGCTCCTCCATTCATTATAGCCCTGGTCAATATTTGTGCTTACACTTATTCTCTAGATGTAGTGTATATCAGATAGAATCTGTTCAATTGAATGTGTGCATGGCTAGGACTCCATGCTTGACCTTGGCCAAATTTGTTTAATTAACTCAGCAGTTTGTGTTTCGGTGATAGTTTAAATCCCAGTGAAGTCTAAAAACAAATCTTAATGGAATATTCAACTGTTGTAGAATGCCAACACTTTGAAACAGAAAATATAGGCCCTGATTAATACCAGTTTGGTATTATACGCTTGCTTTGCAGATTCAATAACAATAAATCTGCATCATTTTTTTTATCTGACTGAAGAAAAAAAAAATAATAAAACTTCTGTTATTTATTCCCCTTCGTTTTTTTGTATTGTGTGGATATACATGTACATGTTCTTGTACGGTTTTGCTGGGTATCATTTTGACATATTGCCATGCACGCACAGATAATATGCAAAACGAACTCAAGAAAACTTGTATTGCTAATTATTGTGATGGCATTCTTTTGCAAAACATGATATCTAATTCAGTAGAGGACCTGCATTAACTTTGCAGTGGAAAATTAAAAAAAGAAACGAGACTTGTATTTTGCATCAATTTTAAATCAACAGTCTGATTTGAATTTCATATAAATTTATGAATAGTGTAATTTTATTTTTCGCAAATTTATCATACTATACAGAGTCGTCTAGAATAATGTTGCAGCGGTCTTTTTTTAAACCAAAGTGGCAAATTTTGCTCTCATAGTTTTTTGATGATGTAAGCATCATACATTTATCAGTTTATTCACTAATGTCTTTCTTCTTTGAAAGCTCTACTGTTGATATTTATGTTTCATTTTAAATTTTTTTGTGCAGTGGGAGGCTGTTTGGGTATTTCAGTTCAGGCATGAGACATAAACGTAATGAAATTTACTCAATCAGATATATTGAGTTTCCACTCCTGTCATGTCTTCATTTCCAACTTTTTTTCAATCTTACAGTAACTTTTTACTGTAAATCATCTGTTCCCTACTTTCAGTGGGTGACAGTGCAATTTCAGTGCAAATTACATTTAAAATTTTAAACCCAGACAAATTCCATTGCAAACTGTATTGTGTGTTGGCATTGTATACGCCTACTGTTGAACCAAGTGACTGTAGTTTATATAAAAGCAGCCTGTGATGAAAACGGAGGACTGAATTACTCTTTATCTGCTGAATTGTTCACTCCTCCTTTTTGTAATTAAAAATTAAAGTCCAAAAATGCAAAGAAAATCTGCATTTAAATTTTGAATACTCATCCTACTTTTGAGTTCCCATATATGGGAACAAAGCTATGATTTTCTAACACGAGGCACAGTGTAATTTGAATGCTGAACATCCCCTTTCAAATTCATGGCCATTCTAAGTATTAGGCCCAAAAAAAAATAGTTCTGCTTCCGGTTTCCCTACCTACATGTAACCCTATTCTGACAGCCCCTACCCTAATTTTTTTATTGGAAAAATGAGGGGAAAAAACACCCAAAACCATCAATTTCTACCTTTTACCCTTGACTACACGCAGATGCCTCCATATGATCGTACACAAAAAATTGGCAAAAAAATAAATAAAAAAAAATTCCTACCTGCCTACCCTATTTTTGAAAGCCATGTAATCAGAAGAAGAACTGTTTATTTTTTTTTGGTCTTAAAACCAGAAACTTGTCTTTTTCCCCCTAAAATTGCCGGTATTTATGTTAAAATAACATTTTCTAGTATGCACAGGTACACACCAGATTTTGCAAATGTTAGTTGTTTTCAAATTTCCTTGACTTAATATATATTAGTATACTTTTGCCATCTAAAGTAAGAAACCATATTTTTAGTAGTCTGGATCCTTGTTACCAGCAATAAGTAACTTCTTTGAGAGAAAAAAAAAACCCTGATTGTTACAAAAGAAACAAACTTGCCGTTTGGAGAGAATCTTCAGTCTTCACTGGATACAGCACCTGGAACTTTTCCATTCAAGAACACCAGAGTTCACAGGTGATTGAACACATCCGTACCAGTATGTTGATTCATGAAAGCCCAGTCACTCAACTGATTGGCTCAGAGGATTGAAATTCTTGCGACAGTGGACATAGAATTTAGCTGATCCTGCGTCAACTTCACCTTGGGCTGCTCAGACAAGAGTTGTCTCTAACACTTGGGAAATGGAATCACGTGACAGTTCATCACAGTAACGTCTTGAGCTGGACTACACCTTTTAACAGGTTGTGCCTGTTTTACCAGAAATCAGTCCAGACCTGTGATAGTTCATCAGGGTGATATCTCTTCACCAAGGAGCCAGTCTAAATTGGACAGTTCACCACTGTGACATTACTTCACCCAGCATCCAGTCTAGACCTGTGACATTGAGTTCACCATGTCTCTTCACCCAGAACCAGTCTAAAACCGTGACAGTTCATCATGGTGACATCTCTTCACCCAGTAGCCAGTCTAGACCTGTGACAGTTCATCATGGTGACATCTCTTCACCCAGTAGCCAGTCTAGACCTGTGACAGTTCATCATGGTGACATCTCTTCACCCAGTAGCCAGTCTAGACCTGTGACAGTTCATCATGGTGACATCTCTTCACCCAGTAGCCAGTCTAGACCTGTGACAGTTCATCATGGTGACATCTCTTCACCCAGTAGCCAGTCTAGACCTGTGACAGTTCATCATGGTGACATCTCTCCACCCAGTAGCCAGTCTAGACCTGTGACAGTTCATCATGGTGACAACTCTTCACCTAGCAGCCAGTCTAGACCTGTGACAGTTCATCATGGTGACATCTCTTCACACAGTAGCCAGTCTAGACCTGTGACAGTTCATCATGGTGACATCTCTTCACCTAGTAGCCAGTCTAGACCTGTGACAGTTCATCATGGTGACGTCTCTTCACCCAGTAGCCAGTCTAGACCTGTGACACCGAGTTCACCTTGGCAACGTCTCTTTACCCAAAAGCCAGTCTAAAACTGTGACAGTTCATCCAGGTGACATCTATTCACCCAGTAGCCAGTCTAGACCTGTGACACCGAGTTCACCTTGGCAACGTCTCTTTACCCAAAAGCCAGTCTAAAACTGTGACAGTTCATCCAGGTGACATCTATTCACACAGTAACCAGTCTAGATGTGTGACTAGTTAATCAGGGTGACAACTCTTCACAAAAGGAGCAATTTTAAACTGTGACAGTTCATCGTATTGATCTCTCTTCACCCAGAAGCAAGTCAAGACTTGTTACAGTTAATAACGGTGACCACCTTTTCACCCGGAAACCCGTCTAGACCTGTGACACTGAGTTCACCATGGTGACATCTCTTTACCCAGGAGCCAGTCTAAGACTGTGACAGTTCATAATGCATCGTGACACCTCTTCAGCCACAGTAGCCAGTCTATGCCTGTGACACTGAGTTCATCATGGGTGACATCTCCAGACAGTCTAGATTTGTCACAGTTCATCATGGTGACTTCTCTCTCTAGTAGCAAGTGGCAACATGTAGTTCCTCCATGCAACATCTTTTTCCCCTCCAGCAGCAAATTTATAAATAGACATGACATTATGGACTTAGTTTTGTCAGGACTTGGTGATCCAAACTAGGAAAATATGGTTTCTTTTTTCATGGCTTCAAATCTTTCCCGATATATATTTGTACTTGTTGTAGAGGACTTGGAGGACTAAGTAATTATAGTTATGGTTGGATTAATAGACTGTAGTGCGCGTGATCCTTGTAATGGCCTAGCATCAGGGTGTCAGTTGGATATATTATCTGGCTGGTGATGGCGTATCTTTACATTTGAGGGAAACCTGTTTTACCCTCCTCCACAAACCTCCAAATGAGAAACAAGTAACAGTTATCATAAATATATAGGTTAGGGAAGAATAACATGCTTGATCCTTGGAATGGCCCAACATCAGGGTGTCAGTTGGGTGTACATGTATGCCCTGGCTGGCGGTGATGGCGTATCATTTTAAACTGACTTTCGTATTAACCAGTTTATGCCAGGAATATTTTGACCAGAACGGAGCGAGACGCGGGATTACCCTCGGGCATCACTTTATATTTCCAGCCTCGTTTACTGCGTGCGGGTTGCTGACGTATCATATTTCAGGCCTCGCTCCCTGCATGTTTATAACTGTCATCTGTTCTGAATGCCGAAAACATTTGTGTGTAGACACGTTATCTGGCGTGAACTGGTTATTAGAAAAATAAAAGAATTTAAAATGCTTCTCTTCATTTTTGTTTTAACTGATATACGTGTTTGTAAGATTAGTAAGAAAATTAAAAGGTAGTTTAATTCTGATTATTTGTTAAAGCAGGTGACAGGCGTGAACATTGGGGCTGTCCTGAATATCCTGCATATATTTGAACATTTTGATCATCAATTAAAGATTTTTGCTATTTTTACCATTCGAAAACAGACAAAATATGTACAATGTTTAGAAATAAGAGTGTGCTCCGTGAACCTTTTGTCCCATCTTAATTTGCTCAAATGGATTTTTATCTTCACTATTCATGGTGTAATTAAAAAGGGAAAACACTCTCAAAAAGGCCATTCACCAGAAAATGTTCCATGACTTTAAAATTATTGAAACTTGTATTTAACCATTGCTTACATGTGAAGCAGCATGAAATTGAGACAGACTGTAGGAATTTTGCTAAGTGTGCTTTCCAATTATTCCAAATGTGAAAGAAAAGCTGGGCATTTAGATTCAAAGGTAAATAGTATGGCAAGATATGGTAAGAGTACAAATGTTCCTGTCATTGCAATTGTAGACTTGTTTTTCCCATTGAACATGGTTTCAAGAATTATTCCCAATGTGATAATCAAATTGATGACAACTTGGCAATGCACAATTGATGATTGGTTCAAAGCATTTATCTGAGTCTTTCATCGCAAAAGATTCTAACCCAGTGACAACTGTTTTCATTCAATGACTGTAGCAAACTAAAAACATATTAAATAATCTCATAGGCACAAATCATTTCCAGCTATTTTCTAGTCAAAATGTGACTACTGTTTATGAATTGACGGATTACTGCGAGTACATGCTTGAATTTTATTTCCAATATCATGCCTTGATGCAGTCCGTTTCTAACAAAATTTGTTTGCCTTTTTATGATCTTTTTTTTTAATTTTCAAATATTTACTCCTACTGGGTCAATACATTGCAAAGATTTTTTTTAATGATGGCTTAGTTTCCTCTAGCACTGCATATTTTTTAAATTAAAAAGTGGTTGATAACTGGAAAAAAGTACTTTAAGTGGTGAGGTGTTATAGACAAGGCAGAGTATAGAGTGCCCCCACACTAAAAATATGCATAGGGACTGGTAGCTAGCTCCCATTAAAAGCCATTGATTGGATGATCGCTGCAAATGAAGAAATGTTTATTTTTTAATCCTTTTTAGCTTTGTTTGTGCATGGACGGTAGTTGAACACATGGCTATAAAAAACTAACTCTTGTCTTACCACAAAAAGTATGCAAAATCGTCAGTGTCTTGAATTAAGGCAACTTTCAAGCAGTTGAATTGCATTGGTTTTAAATACTGAACAGTTATGCCCCTGTCTTATTGATATTTGCCAGAGACACATTCAAATTCAGCAAAAAATCAAAGCTCATCACCTCAGAAATTGCACATTCTTGGCATATTGCAATTTTGCAAGAGTTTGGTTGCGCGCAAACATTACCGTTGTGATTTTGAATTCAGGATGCGGGATTCAGACCTATGCAAGTTATGTATATAATTTACATACATTACGAGACAGCCTCCTAATGGGTTCAGGATTCAGTGCTAGCTACCTGTCCCCATTTTGGAAGTCAGGACAATATGGACAGAGAACCAGACAAGGCAGAGTTCAGCTTTGATTGGCAAATGGAGAATTATGTTTGTGTTCTAGCAGGGTGGCCACTACTGTAGCTTTTCATTTGCAAACATTAAACGTACTGACACACAGTATTTCTGTATTTGAATCCCTCATTAACCCTAACAGTCCTGAATCCTCCAGTCATAACATGAAATGTTATACCCCTAGAGAGTTTTGGTTGTTAAATCTGAGTTGCAGTATTGTGGCCACCCTTGTCATTTTAAATTACGAGAGACATCTTCTACGACCTTTCTTCTTTACAACTGTAAAATTTACTGAACTAATGCATGTTTTTCCATTTTTTTTTCTCTTTTCTCCCAACATGTGCCGAGTCTGTGAAGGCTTTGAAGTCCGGAATCTATTGATGCTGCTCCTGACGTCTGGATCTGATGCCCACCGGTCGGACTCTCCTCGGGAAGATTGGATGGAATCGTCTTAGGGAAAGGGCAAATCTATGGCAAACTCATATCTAGAAACATAATCAAAACTAGGAAGTTTTGGCTGAAGAAGCATTCCAAAGAAGCTTGTGAGGCTTAAAAGATTTTCATAATTTTAAATGAAACAGTAGCAATGAGAGCTGGAATTGTAAATGAAGGATTTTGCACAGTGTTTCTTGCAATGTCAATCAATACAAGTAAAAAACGTTTGCCATGGATTTGCCCCTAACAATCAAATATGAAGATGTAGAACCAGGCACATGTCAAATATATCAAAGTAATTCTTGGTTTTTGCAAAACAAAAAACTAAAAAACAAGAGTTTTAAAGTAAATATTTCAACTCGAATTTAATCAACTATCTGTAAATAATCTTTACATTATCAAGACTTAAAGAACCTATAAACCGCTCTTATTTCAAAACGTCTAATTTCTTTGAAGACAAGATCTTGCATTGAACCCTTTCCTTTCAACAAGCTCCTTTATTTATTCGAAATGGCTTCATGCTGCACAAAATAAAACCTTGGCAATTAGGTTGGTGTGGTTTGATGTAACATTTCTTAGGATTGAAAATTTCCCTTTAAATTTGAAAACAAGAGGGTCACCTTTTCTAACTTAATTTCCTGATTTTATTGAATGTTAAGATTTTTATTGAACATTTTGATTATCACAATTACTTTTTATTGAAAATTTTGGTTATCACAATTACTTTTTAGTCATTTTTTCCTGACATGTGCCTGGTTTATTTGGTTATATAGAAATTAAGTATCTACATGAGCACACCATATGAATTATTCAGTCAGTCCAACTCAATAATTGTAGAGAATTTTGCCAGTATCCTTGCAGTTGTATGTCAAATGCCGCAGTTTCAGATCCTGCTTTTTCACTTATAAAAACCACTTAAATGAATGACACGTAATTGTCATACAGTTTAAATTATCAAAGTAACTTTTAAAGTTCTCTCCCCTTGCTAGTTTTGAGTTTCACTCAGAAAAAGATTTTTCTAACAATTCAAATTATCAGACCACGTTTAGTTAATATACAATGATTTCTAATTGCTGCCAGAAAATACTGTTGTGCGTGATGGCCCAAAATGAAAGCGCATTATTTTTCAGAATGTTGAAAATATCCGGGAAAAAACTTTCTTTTTAAATGAAACTTCAATTGAAGAAAAAATTCAGTAAAAAGAAATAAATGTGTTGAAAAGCACAAATCGAGAACTTTAAACTAGCCAAATCTTAAGAGCAATGTGACTCTTATGAATAATTAAATACAGTTTAGTACTTTATGTTCCAAAAAATAGAACTTTTTGGTGACACTGGCTGGTAAATTGCTGTAAATCATTCCTATGGTGTGCTCGTGTAGATTTGATGTATATTTTTGAACGAATAAAACATATCTTTGCTTTTTTGGTGTAGTGTTTTTATTACCGAAGTAATTTGGATTACTTAAACGCAAAGTTTAATATCGTGTACAGGCACAGTTCTAAAAACGGGAACAAAATGTTAATCGAAAAGAAATCATTTTACAAAATTGCTTCAAAAATTGCTAAATTTTATAGAGAAGAATATTATTTACACTAGTGGCAATAGCACATTTTATAATATACATTTTTAGAGTTGTATTTAAAACAAAAAATCTATCCCCAATAGAACTGTGCCTGTATACATTTGAACTTTGCTGCTTTAAAGTTATGTTAACACACTGAGGGCGCTCTTTACTCAAGGTGAGTTATGTAACACTGAGGACGTTGTTTATCAAATATTTTTTTTAAGTTATCAAAATGTTGAGGGCGCTATTCTATAATATTTAAAGTGATTTTTTTTTAAGTTGGTTTTTCTAAATATTGAGGGCGCTGTTTATGAAATAAAACAATTCTTAACCAAAATGTAAGATGGTGTTGCTTGAATTTATTTCCATCTGGTTTGAACTTGTATATTTATTTTTTTTTTTATTTGAACTTGAACTTGAATTTGAACTTGAACTTCACCTTGAACTTGACCTTTTACCTGACCAAAAAAAAAGCCCAGCCACACACAGGCCCCCCCGGTGCGCACACGCATGTCCCCGCCCACAGACACCAACAAGCAGCAGTCACCCAACTACCCACACCAACTTGTGACCAACTATTGATGAGTGTAAACAGCGCCCTCTAGATCTTGCAAGTTGTGCAATCATGGATAACCCAAGTAGAAAACAACATAATAAGGATCCTATTAAACTCCGACAATCGGTTCAGTTTTCTACAAGGCAGATGGTACTTTGGGTTTTTGGTTATGACCGTTGCCACGGTAACCCACCATCTACTCTAAGAACGACAATTAAAGAGACACTCTGCATCTTTTCCGTTATTGTTCCTCTCAACATATCAGCCGTTCACAGTTACATCATGCCAATTAATCCGATCAAATAAAATACCCAGCATTCAGTTTCCTTGTCATGAAGATTTTCTTGGATATTTCCAGTGTCGGATAATATTTAATCAATCGTAATGGCCACAAATTACATTGGTAAATTTACACAGTTTTAACTCTAATTGTTATGCTGTTTTTACAGCAGTTGTTTTTACATTTTACATGTACGTCTAACGAACAAATCGTACATTTGTTACTGACATACGGTAGATGATACCACACGTGATACCACACAAGTTTAATTTTACATACTTTCAGCTGCAAAAATATTGTGTTGATTAATTTCCACCAAGTTAACCTGTATTTATGTACAGGTAGTTCCAAACGGAAATTTTACTGACTATCGTGCAAGCAAAATAGTTGGCAAGGTTTATTGGTAGCACACAACTTTCCTAAATGTTTAAGTAAAGTTAACTATTCGCAAGATATTTCCTTAGCAATTTTCATGGAGTATTTGCGGTGTAAGTTTCAGTCAAGGCTATTAGGAGATGCCTTGCATGTACATGTACATGTAACATGTACATGTACATGTACATGTTCATGTACATGTACATGAGCATGAGCATGAGCATGAGTATGAGCATGTACATGTACATGTACATGTAAATGTACATGTACCACACTTCAATGTTTCCAGCAAATATTGAGAGGAGCAAAGTTTTTCAAGCTCCATAAATTGTGGGACGAGATTCTCGTGCAAAGATTCCAGAGTTGGAATTCATCCTGGTGACAATTATTTCATTTTCACCTGCAGAATTTTAACCATTTTCTCTTGCTTGTAGTTGTGTCATCACCTTTCAAAGATATTAATTGGTTCGTAATATTGTATACGCCAATGTTTTTGGCACAAAAACGTTGACAAAATGTATTGCCAAGTTTTACTTGGGATTGCTGTACGCAGTACATTGTTATTCGTTGTTCAATTCAAGTCTAACAGACAATTTGCCTTTCTGAAGTTCAGGCAAATTTGATTTTCTGGGTAGCCAATTTCGTTAACAACATCAAAACATTAAATTGATTCAAAGGTTTAATAGATTGAATCTTTTTCTCGATAGAATCCAATTCTATTTCGTTTTGTTCTACGATCCTGGCATGCCCTTCTGCAGAACCATACTGCTCAGTGACTCGGTGGATGATGTGGTAGCAATCTGCCCGTCAGCATCCATAGAAACTGTGACATCCAATATGACACGGGGGAAGCCTGTCCCGTCGCCCATGCTAAGTTTAATTGAAGTTTTCATTAATTCATGCACTGTACAATTCATGGTTACACATCCTCATTGTTACTCATTAAACCCAACGATTCTCATGGCATAAATGGAGTAGGCATGCCTGCATAAGGCAGGTAATGTACATGCTCACATGCAAACCTAGGCAGGTCCTGGGGAAAATCTAAAGGATTGAATTAAAATTATAAATAGAAGCACTGAAATAAGTCTATGAATGTTCTCGGCCTCTAAGTAACTGCAACATTGACGCTTTTGAAATTTGGATGGACATAGATTTTTTCTAATTCAAGTCAGTAACGATGTAACGGACAACTTGCATAGCTACACCCAGCCTTGACTGTAAAACTTCAATACGTAACAAGTTTTAGTGACACTACGACGTATGTTCCAGTGCGTTCCTGTCACACAAATAAAGAGTCTACAAGTTTGTGCATATTATTCAACCATCAAAAGAGGATTACTTGTGCTCTGTGTAATTTCGTACACAAGTGTTAACCTGTAGGTGCATGTCGTGTTTCATATATCGCCTCTTATGCGCAGGCAAAGCAGCAAGATATACAGTTTATGCGTCGAGTCCTTAATCAAATGCCTGCGCCAAACAGTTGCGCAAAGAATTCATCAACTCAAAGAATGTCAGCTTTCACTTTGAGGATGTTACGAACATTTTGAATTTCTGTAACAATATCACCTCAGAAAATGAGGTGATATACAATGTATCAATAATGAGTAATTCCGTTTAGGGCTCGCCCAATGACGGCCATCTCTGTAGGAGACTGCAATGTTCTGCATATTTTGCGCAATCAAGTACGCATGGCGCAATGTTGAAAATGTTCCAAACACCCGCGCTTGTTGCTCGAAATGTGTTCGAAATATGATGCAGCCAATGCGCGATATGCAAGTTCACGCTCAAAATGCCGATGCACGTGGATAGTCTGTAGGAAATGACGTCATTTGAACGAGACCTATTTTGCAATCGGTGATAACCAACCAGTAAAGTACATGTTCAAACTTCTGGACTGGTTCCTACCAGTCCTCTGTTCAAAGAGGGCAATGACAAGCAAGGAACCAGCCTATGTTTTCTTTTGGTTTTTACCACATAGTACATAAATGTATTTCATGCAAGGAGCCTGAATTAAGTAAGGCATTAAACACAACAGCGTCTATTTTTCAGTTGTCTGCGTTAATATCAGTAATTTTGGATTTCCCAGGACCTGCCTAAGCAACACTCTACTTTTAATTTCTTGGTCTTTGACATTAGCCACGATCGTGACAGCAAAGTGCGGCAAAATGCGAAATATTCCGACATTTCATCTATCGTTTTCTTTCACAAGGGGTTGACGGAGATTACGTACCATCTAAGAACTATTTCCTGCATAAATCTTAGTCCGACTGTAATTTATATATTTAAAATGAGTGTTAAAATTTCTAGCCTGCATGTTTAAGTTTCCGATATCCCTGCAAGTTTTCTATTTGAAATTTATCAGAATACTATTGTACGATGGATGCCAATTTTAAAAATATACTAATGACTCGGTACACATAGACGATTGTGAATATTGAAAAACCGAAACAGGCAATTTTTGTGGTCTTTTTCTAGAGTTTACAGAAAATATCAAGGCCCTACATGCACATGTACCTCTTCATCATTTATCTGAATATAGTGCTACCAGTTACATATCCCAGAGATGAATGTAATAATTGTCTAAACCTGTGTTAAATTAGCAGAAAGTAAGTCCTTTTTACAAGTTCTATTTACAAGTAATTTAATCAACCGTCGTTTGTTGAACATCTTACAAGTTCTATCGACATCTTGGCTGATGACTCATTGGAAAAACATGATCTCCGTAAGTTCAAACTTTGTGAGATAAAACTCTTGTTGGAAATACACTTTATTCGCAAATGATGTTTCCCAATAAAGTTCTAAATGGAAGAGTTGCTGTAAATCTACAAGTAAGACTTGTTCCTTGTCACCTTAGTCAAGAACAGCATCACATCGTCATGAAACCATGCAAACTCCCCACATCTTTACCCATATGATCTCATTTTAGATTTTTTTTTCCCTACACGGTTTAATTTTAGGGAATAACATGACATAACTAAGCAAAACGGTTATGACACCTACTTATTTTTAGGTACATGTACTTTATGTAATACTCCTGAAATGCTTTCAGTGTAGAAACTATTAAATTAACAATCTTTCAACTTTGAACATAAATAAATCCTTTCCGATAAGCATCTTATTTGCACATTACTTAAACTAGACATAGTTACGAGATGGTATCTCCAATCAACTACCCGTCAATTTCAGGTCGGAAGATAGGATAAACATTTTGAAAAGTACAGTTTGAAAGATATCACATGTTCGTTTACATGGATTGCATTTACACAGATGCGCATTTTCCGTACATGCCGTCGTTGAGTCCTTTGTCTTTGTGAAAATTAAATTCTTTTCAACAAGGTCCTACACTGTCGTAAGGACAGTTTCGACATGGAAAAACATGTGACATGGAGCTGTGATAGTCTTCAGTCTATGGCAATACCAACAATGTCCCAAAAGTTCTCCATTTCTTCTCACGCTAGAACACTATAAGCACTGGGATTTGGTCCATGGTGCTTACATGAATGCAAGTATCGCTAGCAGGCAGCAACGTCCTTACAATTTGCTTATGATGTTTAAAACAAACATATCCAGCGAAAATATATTTTAGACTTATTGCTGAGAATTTGGTTACAAATTTGAAATGAACTGTTTTGACATACATTTGCCTTGCTGGTGCAATTGACTCTTCAAAATATGCCTTTAGGATTTTCTCGCTTTTTCTTTTTCTTCTGACTTCTTCCAGTCATGATGAAAAATGTACATGAAGAAATGAAGAACTTTTGGGACATTTTGTTTCCTACATCACATAATTTGGTTTTGTGACTTGATCAAGACATTGACTGGTTATGTTCTTTCAAACAGAAATTTAGAGAAACAAACAGAGCTCAATTAAATCACGACTGGAAATTTCCTCTGCCAGGATTTTTGCCAGGATTTTTGCATAGATTCAAGTTTGACTTATCACTAAAGATTGGCAGATTCTTTGTATTCAATCGCTCACTTTGAAGTTTTACAAGCGGGATAATGCATCTGGTACAGAAACCATATGAACAGTCTACCATGACATGAACATGTACATGTACAGTACATGTATTCTTAAACTAGCACTGCGCAGTGCTAACTTTGCCTCGGCTCTTTCTCCATCCACATTAAGTGGGTACTAATGAAACCTGTGCCTGCTGAGCCGAGTTTAGCTCGGATCATATCGATTACAATGCAGGCTACGACATGAGTCGTGTATGTTGTTTTGAGCAGAGGCATTTCGCATCAAAACTGTTATTATCGGTAGCTGTTTGAACGTTTGGCTGTAAATAGCATCAGCACTATCTGCACTTAGTAAAGTCCAGACTGTAATATTTTTGTAATTTTAAATTCAATACTATTTTGGCTTTTGGAGTCTGCTCAGGCAGACATCAGTGATTTGAGCTCATCACAGACTGCGGCCGACATTAGAATTACAATGCCTTGATCAAGTTTCATGTCAAAACAAATGCTGCTTAACTTTTAGCAAGTTTGTTTGATTTTTTTGCCGTTAATTGCAGGAAAAACCTTGGTGATATTTTGTAGTGGCATAGCTTCATATTTATGGGGGAGGGAGGGACCTAACACTGAAACAAGTTTTTAATTTTCATTATTTTGGCCCGAATTAAAGGCTGCCCCGAGCTCTCTTGAATTTGATGCATGAGCCAACTGAACTAGATCACTTGATTTTTGTGTTTTCGATTTTTCCAAAAAAAAACCCAGCTCCTCTAAATTGTGACATGCATACTGGATGAAAAACTGACATCCACTGAAGAAACTTCTGCAAGAAGCATTCATTTCAAAAATTGACACGTCATTTCTGGCCAACTCTTAGAATCCATAATGGACTTTTATCTTAAAAAGTCAAATCGATATTTAAAACTTTCCAAAATTTTCAAGAAATCTCAAAATTTCTGTGCCTCATATTAACATGCAGAGTTTTTTGTATTTCAAAACGACTCATTGACAAGTGTTTTTTGGGTCAAGGAATACATGCAGATCAAGTGATTTTTTTCCCCCCCGCAAAGTATAGCAAACTCAAGTGACTTTTTTTGTTAATGCTTTCAGCATTTGAGAGTTGTGTGAACAACTGTTATGTTTGATATTTCCACATGCTCATGCAGCTTTGGCAGGATTGGTTGACTGACGTGTGGATTTAGTGGACCACTGACTGCCTGTCTCCTATTGTGGTTGATCAACTAGCACATCAACCAATTACTGATAGTCTGGTCCCCTCCCTCCCCCGTGGCCATTAGCTACGCCACTGTGTATTGCCATAGACTGAAGACCATCTGTACATTACTGCCTTGTTTAATGCAGACTACACCATACTCCTAAGCCATGAGATACACAGTTGGGTTTAAAAAGCAACACATGAGGATGTACCAGTGCATGAATTCATTCTACAAACTTCAATTAAACTTACCATGGAAGTTGTTGGCAGGACTGGCTCCCCGTGTCTGATGTCACAGTTTCTGTTTAGGATACTGAGAGGCAGATTGGTACCCAATCTCCCAGGCCATTCACTCCAATTGATCGAGGGGTTCACACCCACTTTCTATTTGTCCCATGTTTAATTTGCCGCTAAGGTTTTTTCTTTTGGGGAGTTGATGAATGGGAGAAATATCTACACAATTTCTGGATGGAATTTAGCTCATTCTGCAAGCGCCAATTCTTATTTTTTTTAATTGTGGAGTCCGTCAAGTGAGTTTTTCATCCTTGCTAGCAAGGATACTTACATGTACTTTCAAAGAATTTCACAACGTAGAAACAAACGTCTGGTTGTTTGCAACCATATTTCCCTTGGGAATGAGAAATGAAAATCTCCCTTATTAAGTGAGTCTCTGGCAGACTTGACTCCAGTTTTGCACAGTATACTTTCCATCATATTTAAGGTAGTTTCTCCCAGACATGTTTTGTTTTCTCCCTTCTTTGGACAAATTCAGAGCGAGTGTTTTTTGCCCCTCTATGATGTGAGTGAATGGCCTGGATACATCATCCACCCAGCAATCTAACAGCATGGTTCTCCCTCTCTGCACACCAGGCATTTCTCTACTAAAGTTTTGAAGAGTACAGCTACCAGTTTTTGGTTTACTTTTTTACAAATATCTTTTGATTTTGATGCAAAAAACCCTACATGTACGCATAAAGATGATGACATTTAAAAATTTGAATTTTGTTTCACAGAAATGTCCAGAAGTATCTTTAGACTTTCTTATTTTTTTCATTATAGAAATTCAGTCATATTTAGAATTTTTTGTTCTCTCAAAAACCAGGATGCGATTTTGTTAATTCAATATTTTTTTTGGTGCCAACTACTGTGAACTTCAAATTTAATTGTTTGCAATTTACTAACTGTAAATTCCGACTGTTAAAAAGTTCCAAATACGACAAATTTAGAATGTGTGTATGCTACCAAAACCATGAATATACAATTCAGACGCGATTGTAATTTTTGAAGAAGCTTGCACCATCTTATTAAATGACTTCATTTGGTGAAAACACCTCCCTTTGAGGTGAAATGAGCAAATGCAAAACTAGAATTTCAGAGTTATACTGTGGAAATTACCAAGACAATTGTGGCCAAACAATTGTTCAAACATCATACGACACTGTCAAATATCCTAGAAAGCCCACAACAAGTAACTGATGCTGAATATTTCATTATTTTTTCGGATCACTGGCAATGATGGCTGAGAACTCTTGACATGTTTCAAGTGAGCAATGGCGGAGTTAGACACAGAAGTGTTCTCTTGAGTTGCCATTCCTGGAGTAGTGGACATGTACATCTGCTTTGTAGACAAACTAACCAATTGCCAAAGTTTATAGGATCCTTACCATGTTGCAGTCTTCCGAGGTATCCACAATCACCCAGGGTGCAAGATTTCGAAGGAGTTGCATACATCACCAACAGTCAATTCACAAGCCGATGCAGATAGCGGGCAACCACCAACCTGTCAGCGTCTGCGGGCAGGGGACACACGTGCACGCACCAGGAGGGCCTGCATGTGGCTGGGCTTTATTGGTTTTTATTCACAGTGCCTGATGGTAAAAGACAACAATGCGAAAATTGTTAAACTATTTTTCCAAAATAAATGTTGGAAGTATATGTATAATCAGCACTGAGATACAACTGTGCTTGCGCTTACTATGACCAGAAGTTGCATAAGCTGTATTTTTTTTAAACGCCATTTTTGAATTAGGCAAAGCTTCAAGTCTGCAAAATCACCAAAATTTGCAGAATTTGTGAACTCATCAATGCAGTGTCAAAGAGAAAGAGCCAGTTTTCAAAGTTCCATGTTGCAGCTTGTGTTTTTAAAACTCCATGTAGCAGCTTGTGTTTTTAAAACTACATGTAGCAGCTTGTGATAAATATATTTATAGCCATGCTTGTTTTGCACACGTTGAATGATCTGATGGAAATGAACAGTTGCTAAATGTGATCAGCCTAAATGTCTGCAATTGCCATCTTACATTCTATCGTTCAAATCCTCTCATTTCTTAACATCAGTGCTGATTATACAGTTCAAACCAGGTGGAGGATGGGTAAAAACCTAGGAATCTATTATTTGAAGATAAGAACATTCATGTAGCAAAGTAAGAGCTCAACGCCTATCAAAATGGTTGCATATTTTTTGCACTGACCAAGACGAATGTCTTAAACTGAATGGCAATAGCATTGACAAATTGATATTTATTGGTCGAACATAACGCAAATTTGACAATTTTCAGTTACTGAACTTGATGATTTGAATGCTTGGTTCATTATGAGATGGATTGCCTACATGTATGTCCGAAAAAAAGCCCGCGCAACATGTTAAATTTCAAGCGACTTTCCATGGGACGATATTTTGCTTTAACTGTATTCACAGTGGAGTGACATCATTTACCCATCATGCACCTGGCTTGAAAACGTTTACCATTCAGGCATTGAATATTGTAATAAAAATTAAATTATTGGTGTAACCAGCCCTCACATCACTCAACAATGATATTTAGTTTTCTAAAGTGTGCTTTAGGTCAAATGGACAAAAACAAGTGTGAATTCATTTAGATCATTTGGAAGTCAACTGTTTCAAGCTGTATTTCAAGCTGGGAATATATCCAGTTTTTTGTACACAAGGATCAGAAGTGGCACGTCTGCAAATTACACCCAATGGATGTTTCTGAACTTCACGTACATTCAATGCTCTCATGTCTTTCCACGCACATTTATACAATGTTCTCACAGTTTCAAAAAGTTTGATTTCAGACAAAGTGTGAAATTTTTCAGATACCTAGCTTGTTCTTTATGATACATCCTTCAGGACAAAGTTCTTTGTTTTTTTCTTTCTTTCTTTTGCTCCAATTTTCATAGACTGTGAGGACTGGTTACAAATGAAGAGTTCATTTCCAAAACGTGACATATACATTTAAAAAAAGTGAAAATTTGAACGGTTTTGAACTTCAAAGAATAAAAATAATATAGCAGCTCTTTTTAAACTTCATTTTTTGACTTATTGATTTCTAGTTGTGTTTAAGAATATAACAGCCAACAAAATTGCTTTTCAGCAGCCAGGAGAGAGCAGGATTCTAAAAGAGAATAAAATGGCGTAAATCACATCTTGGAAATGAACTCTTCAAATACATGTACAAAGTCCATTTTGAGCAATGAGAGGTGGGATCATATAATTATGCTTAGTATAAAAAAGGTCCTTAAAGAGATAAGTACAAATTTATTTTGTATTTCTTCAGTTATTGTAAACTGTGCTAAAAAATGGTACAGTGCCCATAACTTCACAGGGATGCAATTTTTGTCAGAGTGTGCAGATGGTTGACTTTAAAGTCACACTTTTTCAGACCACTTTGATTATAAAAATAATGCCCCAACCTTTCAGAGCTAAGCAATCAAAATGGACTTTGTATAGCAATTAAGATATATGAACCCATAAGTCCCATCCCTCTACCCATGTATCTGTCTGTTTCAGTGGCATAGCTTTGAAGGTGCCCATGGAATGTCAAGAAGGCAACTTGAGGGACAATCAAAGATGTTTGATTCTGGAATTTAAGCTCAAATCACAAATGCAATTTGATTGCAACCAGCAGCTTATTAGTATCAGCTCTTGTGTGTACTTTTTTAAACTTCAAGATAAACAGGAACTTTTTTGCCATCTTTGAGATGGGTAAATGAATACATGTATTATGTTCTGCAAGCAAAAATCTTTACTAGCGCTGACAAAAGGTGAAGCTATGCCACTGTGTTACATCCCAACCCAATTTTCTAAACTCAGTTTTCCTTAGTTGATGGCTGTCTCTGTAGCAAGTCCTTTAGCCGTAAAAGTTCTTGGCAATAAAGGTCAGAGCAGCAACACTCTGGAACACAATCCAACATTTGGAGAGCATCGGGAGATGTAGGAGCACACTTCTTGCAGGATTAGCTTGTAGCTTCTTGGAGTGCACATGTACATGTATGGTTCAGTCTGTAAAATGTTCAGACAAGATGCATATCCACAGAGTTCAAAATGAATCAGGAACACAACTAAGCAGTTACAGTCATTCATGGCTGGATGAGTCAGACAGTCTATACCATCCACCATAGTCAGTATCTCTTGTCCTGTGCAATGTTTTGAGTGATGTATCAGCAAACTTCCACATGATGAAGGCAGCAGAGTCTGATGAGATGACAGAACTGAGGCGGTGATTGGGGAGTACTTGATTCCAGCAGTCTCTTGAACAAGGCAGTCCATGGTTGACCCTGTTACAGACAGAAAAAGAAACGATGCTTTTCTTGAGTCCTGCAGTTTCATAAAATGGTTTTTCAAAAGGTCACAAACCTCTTTTCGGGTCATTCCGTGCCAATTCAACGGGCCATGGCACCATATGTCACAAATTTTGTTCAAACTTAGTGGAAAGGTTCTGTAAGTTGTTCTTCAGATGATATCAAAAGCAAAAATTCATATTGCTTTCCATTGAGGTGTTACGGTAGCACAAAGTTCAATGAACTTTGCCAAAAAAAAAGGGAAACAGACTGGCCCATAGAATAAATCGCTGACTTTATGGACCGATATCTTGAGATTGAAATTGAATTGGAAGCTGAATTTAGAGACATGGGTACAACTACTGTAGTAGAGCAGGAATATAGGAAAATAATACCCATCATGCCTCACACCTTAATTTTACGGGGGTCAAAAATGATCTTGGAACTTTGCATTAACTTTTTTTTAATATCAATGTTAATGTAATCTCTGACTACTATATTGACATTTATGTGTAAGAAAGAGCAATTGTAACTGACTTTCCTGATCTGGGTGACCCCCAATATGGCCCAAGCCAGAAATCCGCCTTAAAATTTGCCCAACACAAGGGGAGAAATCCCCATGTGGCTCAGGTGATATAATTTTCTAGGCTTTTTATTAAGAAAGAGTGCATCTTCAAGATTAATATTATCAAAAAAATTCATGTGTATCTGACATTTTCATGAAAATTCAAAGCTGCAAAAACACCCCCAAATTGGGAGACAATGTGTGTTAGACGCAAGTTGTGCATGTGCAGGCAATTTTGACTGACCCCAATTCAGCTCAGAAGCATAAATGGAACTCCTTTTTTGCAGTCCTTCATTTTTAAGGAGCGCGATCGCGCAGGCGCTCCTACTGCACTCCTCGATTGTCTCGAAGGAGCGCCAAAAATAGCGCTCCTAAGAAATCCAAAAGAGGGCTCATCAAACACGGGAAGTTTAAAAATAAGAAGAGATAAAAGCGCAAAGGATTTTAAGTCTTAAGCTACACATATTTTTCGCTGGTATAATGCCCAAACTCACGTTAATATGCCGTTGGACATCGCTAAAAATGAACGAACACCGAGCTCGTACGTACTGTATAAGATCGTGTGTGTACAGCGGTTGTATACTGTGCGTGCACAATCTGCATATCGCATAGAGCTGCATGAAAACACGTGGGCCCGTACGTGCGAGTGCAGCAATGACTGGTTCCCGCTGCGCCGCGCACTAAGTCCCAATGAAGGCATGATGAAAATGTGGTAACCAGTCAATGTAATAGCGGTAAAAATGCCAAGAAAACAACGATTGAGAAGGACGATCTTTGCAAGCTTATTCACAGAACTTGATCTCTCTTGTCTGTGTATGTATTTCCCATGTTCATGAATTTATTTTGAGGAAGTTTTACTGGTATGTGAAGTGAAACGATGCAGCCTGTTTCACCGAAATCCTATACCGTAAAACGAGTCTCATTGCTGGCCCACCACACACAGTGCATCACAAACGCTCGTACTAGTGCGAAGTTCAGACGTTGTTAGCCAGTTCCTCATCGTGATTAGCATTGTGTATATGGCATACTTGACCTGCATTTTCCATTATTTTTTAAGATTATCGACGGCAGATATTTTCGATAAAACTTAACGCAAGTTTGTGTCATTTTGAGGCCCTTTTTGTATAGCTTCTGTAGAGCAATTGAAATAGTTCAGGCTGAAAATTTCATATAATTTTAATGAATCTAAATTCTCTCCATTTTCCAAGTATAATCAAGTGAACCAACTGGCAACTGTATTAAAAAATGAAAGCCTAAGCAGTAGTCAAACCTTTTATTAATTTCCATTAATTTCCTTTTCCATTTCCATTTTACCTTGTCTTACAGTTACAAAAAAAAAAAAAAGTCTTACAGAATTTACAAAAAAAGAAGAAAAGTAAACGCAACTTGAGCATATGTTATTATGCAAAAAACTAATAATAATGCAGCCCCTTGAATAAATCCTTATACTCAAAATAAAACAAAAACAATGGTAACCCGTCGTTTAACCGCTATTTATCCGTAGATTTTAAGGAGAGCGATTTGCTCTCCTCAAATATTTGAGGAATATTTGAATTTCGGACTATGAAATACTGACTCACTGGTAGTATTGCATATTCCTATGTGAGGATTGTGACCGCTCAACCAATAAAACAGTTTATGTTTAAGGCACCGGATTTCACAGAAATCCAAATTTCATGTGATACTCCAAAAGTTTTTAAGACCAGCCAGCTGGTGTTTATCAACCACAAGCTGATTTACCCGATCATAGATCGGGTAGGGCGTATTTGTGTTGGGGTTGAAAATGTGGGGAGTTAAATGTAAATGGGGGACTTAGTTGAGAAGACATGCAGTTATAGAAAAGCAATTTCTGTGGTGCGATCTCAGGCAATTTCTGACCACTATTAAAGTAAAAACCAATTGTTTTGAGCAAAAGATTAACTTTTAAACATCATTTTCGAGTTTGGAGTCAATGAATCAGCTATTCTGAGTAATAGAATAATTACAGTAGGCTACAATTTTTATTCGGGGGAAAAAAAGTGGTGGTGGGGGGGGGAGACCAAACTATATCCCGCTTTAAGATGTTGGGGTAGGGGTCCCCATCTCTCACCGATTGACGCCCATGATAATTATGTACCATGGCGTGTATAACTGTCTGTAAATTTTCCGGTTGGTCTGTTAATTAAGTTGGCATTTTGTACAGTTTTGACAATAAATCATAATGCAATAAAACGTGAACGTGTCAAGTTGCAATGGAAATGTTGAGTGTTATACCATAAAACTACAAAGTCTGAATCATGGAGGAAGGTCATAATTAAGTTACAGTATTGGACTCTTCAACAAACGTAAACTTGATACTTTTTACAATTTGGAGACCTGCGTGGAAAACTCAATTCAACTTTTAAGTTGGCCTTTCAACCACAACATACATGTAAGCAAGACCAAACAGCCAACGACGTCCACCAATGGATATTATTATTTATGCAACGTAGTTCAAAGATCGCGATATTTGAAGAAATGCATCGATCTTTCGTTGATCCCAAAACAGGCCCCCGAAATTATAGCGCACACTGAATTATACGTGGCGGGCAGCGAACATCACAAAAACGTGGCTCAGCCTTGATGGAAGCAACAGCACTCTATCCATAGAGCTTGCTCTATGCTCTCATGCACGTCTCAATGCTTGTGTTTCCAATATCGAGCACCGTAGACCCAACCTCGTTTCCAGGGTGTGGAGCAAGCTGCAGTACGTGTTGCCATTGACGGTTTTACGCATAGCCGGGAAGTACTATACGCAGTGTAGACTTTCAATTGGTCAGACCGCGCAAGGCATACTAATGTGTAGTCCTTTTGAGTATTAGTTGCACTCGGCGCAAGGGCGGGAAGCAAAGCACAGGGAAGAATAGGGACACTTGGTGGCCATGCACCATGGAGAAAAAAAATTTTGCCAGGGTCACCCCATGCTACCGTTTGGTAAATACTCGCTTGCACGCACACCAGAGCTACGTGTATGTTGAACAGAGCGGAACGCGTGCGTTCGGCGGCGGCGGAAAATAAAATAAAAACGGAAATAAAATCAATGCAAATGCGCGGGGGAAAAAGCGGGGGGAAATCTGGACCATCGGAAGAAAAAAAGCGGAAAACAAAATGTGGCACACTGAACAAATAAGCGGAAATCCGCTAAATAGCGGAGATTTCACACCCCTGATTGACAATGAGAAATAAACACCGGGAATCGCTGCCGGCAAGTTAGCGCATGGCCCGGCAGCATGTGCCGGCGAATGACAACAGATGCTGATTTGTTTTGTCCGAATAAATAAGTCCTTTTTTACAACAAAGCTTATCAAATTGTTGTGATTACTAACGAGTAGTAACATCAAAATATCAAGTGTACGATTGTACTTTCTTGCAGCTAGCACGATGCATGGGCGAATCCATTAATTTCGTAAGGGGTGATTTAGTGCCAGTTTTGCGTTTAACGTCGTTTCTTGAATACATTTCCAGAAAAAAATATATATTGTGACATAGAACAACTGACTATTGTATAAAGAAATGTTTCGAACTCCATAAAAAGTATTAGTTGTCTTTTCTTCTGCGGAAATATTGATAATTATTGTTCCCAAGACGGTACACCCCTTTATTACCAAAAATGGTTTGGTCTGATCATACAGCGTGCGTGTTGCATGCATGACCGGGGCTTTTATCGACAAATTCGTTGTACATTTCGCGTTCAAAAAACCAAGTTTTAAAATAGTTTTAACTTTAATTGATATGTAGAAGATGTTCTTTATTACTTTTTCTACCATATAATTAATTAAAGCTGTTTTTAATGTCCAAAAGCCTCTACAAAATTTGTTGATGCTCGTTGATGACCGTTGAGGCTTGTTTACGCGCTTTAGTAGTACCAAACGAAAGAGTTCGCTCACGCACGGCCCGCCGGCCGGCCAGCACAGTAGTGTATACCGTTAGCACTCGGTAGCGAACCTCGGTATCTGTTCGTGGGATGTGCTTCCACTGTTCGTTTAAAAAAATGATTTGCCTCAGGTAACAATTGATAATTCGTTTCAGCAACAGATCTTATTTTAAACCAGTACATGTAGTGAGAAAACCTTGGGTATTTTTTTTTGTCAACGAAAATGTGAAGCATATCAATAGCATATCGGTTAACTTCAAGCATATCGGATTTTTTTCGAAGCGTGTAGGCCCGATATCCTAGTGTATGCCTGGCTAGAAGCCTGCTTACATGTATAAGTTATACATGTATGTCGTATTTACGACTAATATCATCGACAGGATACGACATATATGTCGACAGGGTATGACATATCAAACATATAACATAATGTTGACAGGTGCCGGTTCGACATATATGTCGTGCATAAGTCGAGTCGACAGGGTACGATATATGTCGCATACGACAAAGTCGTATATAAGTACATCTCGTGTGTAGAAA